CGTCGCGGTGTCGTAGCAACCACAACTCAAATCAGTGCTCTGATCGGGAAATTGTGGAGAGCTCATCCTTCACTTCCATTAGAACTGAAGAAACGTTCTAACGAATAACCAAACCAAAATGGTTTCTAAATGTATTGCGTACTGTCAATTAGTGCTGCCTTATCTGCACTTTTACTTCTGCTACTCCATTCTACTTGATATAAAAATGCGGAACTAAGTGCATTATACCTTTAAGAAATGCCATTCACAAGGGCAAACGCTGTTGCGTGAGACAAAAATCTGTACGTCGGACTTAATTTTTAAATAATGTAAATATGTATGTGCAGATTATCTCCACAGATATGAAAGTAATCTTTACTCCAACTCTCGTGTTGTATTAAAGAGTAATTTATGTGACATAATTTCCTCTGAATTTTATTACGGGTGCATTCCCGTAAGACCGCCATGTCGTTGACCGCATTACTCGGCGGAGGCGCGGTAGCGCTCGCAAGGTGTGAACCCCGAAGTCCTCCTTGAGAGAGATCGTCGCCTCCCGACCTTAACTGTCAATGAACAGAAAATTTCCCATTCTTCTTGCATTCTCAAGGATCCTTTCATGAATACGGTAATTACCATCTAGCAAAATCCCGCATTTCAAATTCGGGAACTTTGCTTCTCAGTTTGACGTCAGATCATCTAGCGACGTGTAGTATCCGAAATATAAGTAAAATTCAGGCAAGTGGATTAACTTATGAAGCACTTTGTTTCAAGTTTTATCAGGAAGGTTAAGAACAGATGCAGAATATTGAAACCAACGGTTTCAGTATTACTGATAGGCTCGCCATTGATACTCTATTTCATGCGAAAGACGTTAAATTAATATACACTGATAGCACAAAAAATCTAACTGAAGACATCTTGTAATATATTGGGAGCATTTCACCCTGAGTTATATCGCAAAATGGCGGCTGAAATGTTGGCACCTGAGCCTAGAGCGCTGCATCTCCCGGACAGACAAGTAGCTATTGACTCCCGCCGCTGAAGCCTACGCTTTTACCATGCAAACAGTATTTAAATTTTAAATGTTTGTGTATTTTTTCCTTCTTTTATTTACCGTGTTACAGTCTAAGCCTGATGAAGTTGATAATTTTACCAAGTTGCTTGACCGAGTCCTTACGGTTAGCATGACTCTTAAGCACGTGTGGCCCCTCCTTTCGCAAAAAGTTCCATAGAGTAAGCAAAATTTTCTCTTTTTTTTTCGTTCATTTAAGTCGCATGAACAAAACGGTCATTAGCGACTACATTAAATTCAATAATTATTACATATATTGTATGTGTTTACGTATAAAATTCACATACAAAATTAGTGCATTAATTAATATTTTCATTTCTGAGATAATATCAGTAATTTTACAAAATTTTAGGACTAAATATGGTAAATTTAAAGATGTTGTCTAATATCAAAAATTGATTTTGCTAATGATCGTTTCGATCGCGTAGCGATCATCCTCAAAGCTAAAACTAAAATTATCGAAATAAAATTATATTAATACACGTTTTATAAAAAATGAGGTATAACGTAGTACGAAATATTATATTCGCACAATATGTACTAAATGATCGAAACGATCGAATCGATCGAAACCAGACACCTTTAATTCACCATATTTAATTATTAGAAGGTATCTTACCTTACCAGCGATCTAATTAATAATAAAATTTGATGACTGGATCTTGATGGGCTAAGGTATATAGTAGCCCATTGACATCTAGCACGTATGTTCTTCTTCGCAAACACTGAAGCGTGTCTTGCAAAGCGGCATTTTCGGCAGCTGCGCTTGCGGTCGTGTGAACGCGGACGTCCTGCGGGCGCGGGGGCGTGGGCGGGCGTGGGCGTGGGCGAGCGCGTCGTCTCCCAGGGAACCGGTGTGCGCGGAGACGCCCGCGAGCGGCCGCGGCGCCGCGTGTGAGCGCCGCCCGTGGAGATA